CGCATAAGATTGACACGATCGGTAACGGGGGGTCGGGGGGGGGAGCGGCGGGCGCGGGGCCACGGGCCGGGCGTGACCAAGGCTCCTCTCGCGTCTGGCGCAGGGCAGATGTCCTGCAACCCCTCCTTCGGGGGCATCGGGAAGGGGCACCTCATGAGGGAAGTGGATGCCCTGGACGGGTTGTGCGCCCGCCTCTGCGACCACTCGGGGGTGCACTACAAGGTGCTGAACCGGCGCAAGGGCCCGGCCGTGTGGGGGCTGCGTGCGCAGGTGGATCGGAAGCTGTACAAGGAGAACATGCAGGTGAGGGGCAGGGGGTTGGGGGGCCAGTGAGAAAGGAGTAGGCTCTCAACCCTGTTGAAAGGATCCGGGTTGAACTGAAAAGGGTGAAGAGAAGATGCCCAAAGGCCTGAGCAGAAAGATGTCACAATGTTTTAGTTATTCAGAAGAGAAGCTGAGGGGATACCTCTTATGGTTCAGGCAGGAAGAAAATATGTGGTATTCCTGTGCTCTTTAATCTAGGAGTGAAAAGCTAGAGTCAAATTCACATGGTAAACGGAGGCCAAAAGATTTACCCATCAGGGTAACTCACAGTTGGAGAAACTAGCAAGAAAAGTGGGGGACGCTCTTGTTTGTTGATACTGTCAAGTGAAGATGTTTTCCTGCAAGACGCGTGCCTTAGTCGAGCCCAAGTTCTCTGGCAAAACATGGGAATAACTAGATGACGTTAGCTGACTTTGCTGACATGCAGAACTGTTTCTGGATTATCCAGTGGTCTCTGTTCTGTCATTAAAACCTGCAGATCTGTAAATAAGTAGCTATTAGTTCTGCTTAGTAAATCCCAGACATCACTGCAGTAATTGAATGTGATAGGCACTTGAGTTATGCTTCTCCTGCTTTAAAATAACTTGGTAATGGAGTGGGAGAGAGAGAAGCTGCTATCCAGTAATTGGAAGTGTGTGGTTCAATGTTTGGGGGAAGATGTGTGGTCGTAGGGATGGATGGACAGATACTCATACTAATTCCTTCTCTCCTGATAGAAAGAAATCCTTAATACCCCATTCCTGACTGTTCGTGAGGGGTCTGTGGAAGATCTTCTCTTGAAGGAACCAGAGTCAGAACATCCAGGGAAATGCCAAGTCAGTGGGGTCCTTCTTGGTATGTACTGTAACTAGATATTAAAGGTATTTGATGCGTCACTTCCCCCTCAAAACTGAACAGAACCTTGAGAGTAAATATGCTTCAGGAATTAACTAAAAAGCATATATATGGCTTAGAGAGAGTATGAGCCAGTCAAGACAGCCAGGTGTTACTGTTATCACTAAGTCTTTTGGAGAATGACAGTATTTAAGCTTTTGCCCTTAAATTAGTGTCAAAATCTGTCCCAAGTTGTATGAAAAGATTCTGGGGAGTTAGTTGAGTCTGCTACAGACAGAAATGCATTTCTGTCTAGTGAGTGTTTGATTTATGAACACCAGGGATCCAGGTTTTCTGTTTCCCACAGAAAAACAGAAAACCACAGATTTCCCCTTTTAATTGGAGAAAACACAGATTTCTCCTTCTAGCAGAAAAACCTGTGGATTCCCCACTTTTGCAAAGAGCTCTGTAGGCTGGTTGAGCTCCAGCCTGCAAGAGCTGTTTGCCCAAGCAGACGGCAGCAGTGGGGGAGCCAGCTTCATGCTGCTTCTGCCGCAGCTGCCTGCTGTTGGCAGCGGGGAGCTGCAGACTTGGGTCCCTGGCCCCATAGCCCTGGCAGCTGTGGGTCCACCTCTGGCAGGGCTGGGGGGCAGGGGCTGTGGATGGGGGCAAGATACAAGGGTAGGATGATGTAGGGGCTTTGGGGGCGCAGTGAAGGGCACTAGCAGGGCTGGGAGAAAGTGAGGGGGACCAGCAGGGCTGGGAGAGGCGTTGGGGAGGTGTGAGGAACACTAGCAGAGCTGTGGGGGGTGCTTTTAATTTTAATAACAGTTTTAGGGCAGTTTATCAGACAATTTGCAATTTTTTGTCAGAATTTGTGATTATTTTTTTTTTTATCAGAGAAAATCAGGATCCCTGGTGAACACTGAGCAAATTTCCTTAGCCCTGTCTCCTTTGTGTTATGTGTCCGTTACTGATTCTGCCACACCTGGATGCCAAGTGATATCTTTGTTAGCAGAGTCCAAGTTCTGCTTCTCCGGGGTCAGATGTAGCATTTCCCAGGATGAACGTGAAAATATGAAACATAGTATTTATTTTGCATGTTGAGCTCCTGAGTTTCATCTTGTTGATGGGGAGCTGTTCTGTGGATGAAGTTTTGTCTGGTCTGGTTGTTTCCTGGCATATTAGACAGAAATTCTGAGTACTCCAGCGGCACTAGGTCTCAGCTAGAGAGGAAAGAGCAGAACCACTAAAATTAATTTCCCTAATCTCAGGCTTTGGTCTTGTCTTCTCAGTTCAGACAGAAACAAGAGACTAGCTGAGGTTAGAAATGGAGGGCTCTGAATAGATCATAGTGCACCTGCTTTTATGTCTCCACTGTTTTTTCCTGTTTAAGGCAGACACGTTGGAGAATGCTGGGCTGGTTCTAGGCAACAGCAACACATCAGGACCTTGGTTGTTAATCTGTATGTTTCTGAAAATTCTTTTACAGGTGATGGCAGCAAAGTACATGCTGGCAGTGTCATACTGACCACTGGTACCTTTCTGCGGGGGATGGTCCTCATTGGATTGGAGAGGCATCCAGCTGGGCGATTAGGGGATCCGTCATCCACTGGACTGGCTCAGACTCTGGAGAAACTGGGGTTTGCTGTAGGGAGGCTGAAGACTGGGACCCCACCCCGACTTGCCAAAGATACCATTGATTTCAGCATTCTGGAGAAGCAATGGGCTGACAGCCATCCTGTCCCATTCAGCTTCCTCAGCGAGACTGTTTGGATCAAGGTGTGATGCAGTTTGGGCAGGGAAGGCCACTGTAGTATGATTCTTGCAGTATTGTGCTCAGCACCTTCAGGAAGATGTAATGAGCTGTCTTTGCTGAGAAAATAGTCTGGTCGATATTATGACTCCTGTAGACAGGAGTTACCTTATTTCTGCATGAGTGCTCAGAGTTCTGCTTCTCTGAGACATCAGCTCTGAAGCAGAGGGGAAAACTAAGGTTAATGCAAATCTGCACGGCATCCCACACTTCCTTTGGAATATCAGTCTCTGATTAGGTGTGTAGAGCAGCGGATACGTGGCTTACCAGGATTTGTTCTTCTAACTCACTCTTGAGGAATTTGTTTAACCTCCAAGCACCATTTCCACAGCAGATGTAATGGAACTATCACTGTATGGAGCCACTGTAGAAGTTAGCTAATGTCTGAAATCTTCAGGTGAGAAGTGCTTGATCAGTGTAAAGCGTTATTGGTGGATTAAATCTAAGTAAGCCTTAATCTTTTTCAGCCAGAGGATCAGCTCTTATGTTACCTGACTTACACTAACCCCAAAGTGGACAAAATTATCCGTGATAATCTTTACCTGAACAACCATGTAAAGGAGACAACAAAAGGACCCCGGTGAGTATGAGGCATCTTGCAAGGATCTTTTTCATGATGTGACAGAATAGCTGAATCTGCCTAGTTCTTCCTTATTTTATTTCTGGGAGGCGGCTCGCAATCAGTGATTACCTTCTCTCTGTGTTACCCCCTTGCACTGATGGTTGTTTCCCTCTGCAGGTACTGTCCCTCACTTGAATCTAAAGTTCTGCGCTTTCCAAACCGTATTCATCATCTGTGGCTAGAGCCTGAGGGTCTGGATTCCAATATCATCTACCCCCAAGGAATGTCAATGACACTGCCACCTGAGCTCCAGGAGCAGGTGATTACATGCATCCAGGGCTTGGAGAAAGCCAAGATGGTACAGCCAGGTGAGAGAGAGAGTCAGATTGCTCCATACAGTCTGTATTACAAAGGGATCTAGACTTATGACCCATTGTTGTTCCCAGGTGCACAAGTTTTGAGCAAACTTATATCCTTCTGAGCTCTTAGATCTGGAAATCTTGGCACCCAGAGTGAACACACATCAGTCATTTTTAATTGGATTTTTTTTTATATAAACACATTTTTCCCTGAAAGTAATCCTGTTTTATTTTAACATGAAATCAAACTATTTTGATATGCACACTTCTTACAATCTGTTAATTAATCAAAACCTATTCAAACAATATATGATTGCAGCGAAATGTTTAAGAAAATCTGGAACCTACTAAATCAGCTTGTGATGATGGCAGCCTCCTCCTCAGATATAGAGAGACTGTCTTCTCCACCTTAACTTAGTGCCATTCAAAAAACAGTTTATTCGAAATTAGAATCCAACTCAGAGCTGAAAAAGCAGGAAAGTTTGTCTTTCTATTCCTGTGTGTAGGTAAGCTTAATGTGAGGTTGAAATCTACTGGTTCTAGATTACTGGAAGACTTGGTAACCAAAAGCTGTATGAAGTTCACTAACTGCAACTAGTGCTTCCTTCCTTTAATAAATGAGCTCTTATGTAATATAGTCTGGTGTTAACATTGTATATTTATTAAACTAAAACAAAACAATGTTATAGTGCTGGTTTTCTGCATTTTTAGTTACATTTTGATTGAATACCATTTTCTAAAGCTATTTGACCCATGCTACAAGTTAAAAAAAAAAAAACATGATGAACAACAGTAATTCACTATTTTCTATCCTAAGAACATGTAAATGTTCATCATCTAAGGATGTTAAGGTGTATGACTGCTTAATGTTTAAATATGCATCCTGATTAGCAAAAAGTAGTGTAAAATTTAGCATAAAAATGGTGTTTAGTTGCACATTAATGTGTGTTAAGGGTTACCAGCCAGTGAGCTTCTTCCTTTCTCTAAGAAATTACTAAAAAGCAAAACAAGGTTAAAATTATTTAAATTGGCAGGTGAGAAACCTTGATTTGAACAATGATTAAAATTAATGAATCCACCCAAATGATGCCTAATACGATAGAGGGTGTATTCTCCTTTTCTTGATGACAGTCTCCTTTGCATATACTAGGCTATGGAGTTCAGTATGACTTTCTAGATCCTCGTCAGCTCACTGCTTCCCTTGAGTCTCGTCTGGTTCAGCGGCTCTTCTTTGCAGGACAAATAAATGGCACCACAGGCTATGAAGAAGCAGCAGCCCAGGTGAGCAAATCTGAAAGTGTGCATTTCACACTCAGACTACACCCCAAAAAAACTGGTAATCATAACTCAGTGCCAGTGTATGCTCCCCATCGCACCTCCCCCCCCAGTGGTGTAAACAGGATGTTGTACTGGTTATGCAAGTTAAAGATACTTTGTAGAACCACATGCACAGGTTTTTCAGATGCTCAGCAACAAAACTCCTTGTTCTCAGACTGCTTTCCCACATCTGAGCATTAAGGAAACTGCCTGGGCAAACAGTGAATGCACTGCTTAGTTGATGGCTGAAAGCAAGGGCCATCTGGGGGAAGGAAGAGGCAGTACTTGCTTTGCACACCAGCAGTTCCCTCCAGGCACAAGGATAGCCACAGTAAGCAGCTGGGGAAAAGTAAGGGAGAGCATCCTGAGAACTCTAGAATGGTTGCAGAAAACCTTCTGTCCCAGGAGGTAGAACATTTGTTTTTAGGACTACTGCAAGGATCAGAGACCATCTAGTACCAACTAGCACACCTCAAATAACACAGATTCTGCCACAAATACCTGGAGGCTTGTGTGTGTCGGATATAACAGTCCACGTGGATCAGAATGAGTCAGTGTGCTGGCTTCATAGTGGCTCCTGTAACCACTTCGATGTCTGGCAGGGAGTGATTGCTGGAATCAATGCTTGCCTGCGAGTCTGTGGTAAACCTCCTTTCACTATCAGCCGCACTGAAGGCTACATTGGAGTCCTGATCGATGACTTCACCACGCTGGGCACCAGTGAGCCATACCGCATGTTCACCAGCCGAGTGGAGTTCCGCACATTCCTGAGACCCGACAATGCAGACAGCAGACTCACCTCCCGAGGTAACCTATCCCTCTGTTGATTTTCTTGACCAGCAGGCCAGCCTGTATAGCACCTCTCTCACTCGCACACTGTCTTTTCTCTGAAGGCTTTGAGGAAACTGGCTGTGTCTCCCGGCAACGATATGAACGAGCATCTCAGATAAAGGCTGCCATAGAGGAGGGAGTTACAGTGCTAAAGTCTCTTCAACTCCCTCCCTCCAAATGGTCCAGCTTGATTCCGGAGATTGTAATCAGCAGCAGTCGTACCTCACCTGTCAGGTAAAGGTTGCTACTGATCCTTCCCTGCCTGTCCACTGCTTGCTTCTGTAGGAGAGCTGCATTCTGAACCATTTTTTTTCCTCTTTTTGAGCACTTACGGTGTTCAAGCGTCCAAATGGTAGCTTTCTAGCTGCATAAATGTATTTCTCTGATTGTACTTTCCCTGAAGTCTGTGTGGCTCAGCTTCAGAAGGAGAACTGGAATGGAGCATAGACAATGTTTGACTTGTAGTCTGGTGTTAAGAGCACTGCTGAGAAAGTCAGAGAGATGCAGGTTCAAACCCCTTCTGGGTTTTGGGGAGGAAGATAGGGCTAGAACCCCAGCAGGTCTCCAGCTTCCTGGATGAGTGCCCCAGCTATTTTGGCTAAAACATGGGAGGACTCTGCCTCAGGAAGGGGGTTGTACTAGATGACCTCTGGAGGGCCGTCTGGGGCCTACTTCTCTATAACCTGCTCCCCCTTATGCTTTTTCCTGAATTTATGCAACCCCAGCATAGAGGCAGGGCTGAAACACACCCAGGTACCCACTGCCAGGTACCCAGGTAGGGAGCCAGGTAATAGCTTTTTTGCCAGTAGCAGGACAGATGTTGTACCCTGACTTTAATGGGGGTATTTCTTTACTGGTTTCAGATACAAACTGTAAACACCAGTGTAACGTATCTCCTTGTTCACATGGGTATAAATGTGTTATATGTCTGTGCCCAGAGAAGAGACATGAGTTTAGGTGTCCAGAGCAGCTTTTCCTGTGCTGCTTGCCCTCATCTGCGGGGACCCTCTGGCTGGAGAGGGTTTTTTGTTCTCTGCTGCTTGATCAGTCTTTGGTGCCCCTGCACAGGCTACCAGCTAAGTTGCTCACCTCTCATTCTCAAGTGATGGCAACTGGGTCATCCCTGAACTAGGATTTTTACCGAGCTGCATCCAGTGGGTCTGGGAATAGCTGCTTACCATTCTTGTGCAATGCACTAGCCCTGTTACAGTAATCACTTGGTCTTGTTTTCACAGGGCCTTGGACATCCTTCAGTATCCAGAAGTCAACATGGAATTATTGGCAAGGATTTTCCCAGAACCCCTTGGAAAGCTTGCTGAATGGAGAGAATTGGCAGAAAGACTTAAAATAGAAGGTAGAGAAGACCAAACATCATCCATGTGTTCAGTGGGGAATGACCATGAAACCCCAGCCATCTCTGGATTTTGCAGTGTGGAAAGGCCACTGTCAGTACAGCATCCTATTCTTCCATAAATGGACCCAAGTCCTACCTTGGAGAAAACACTGTTCTGTCTTGGCAGGGAGGAAAATTGAGTCTGTGTTAATTTTTCTTGGCCTTTTTTCCCCTCACTGCTCCAGCAGTGTATTACAACTGCCCCAGAGTTCTCCTGCTCTGCTTTGGTTAAGAGATCAAGTCTTTTGAAAACTGAGATTTGTAATATTTGTTTTTTCCAAAGCCCCTAAAACAGGGATTGGCAACCTATGGCCCATGGACTGGGTTGGCTCTGTCAAGCCATCTGATCCAGCCTCCAGACGTGGGATGTCAGCAGCTGGATTGACCCATTTTAGGTCAGAAACGGATAGGCGGTCACTAGGACCCAACGACTGTTGCTATCACTTCTCTCAGCAGCTGAACAGAAAAATCACCCTCCACCACTGCTTTTCCCTGCAGCACACAGTGTCCACAGCTGGCATTCTTACATGCACTGGCAAGTGAAAATGACTGCCACTGAGAGGAAAAGTGCCTGCTACAAACGTTCACCCTCTGCCACCTCTGAAAAGAAAAGTATCAGCAGTGGGTGCGTTCCCTTTTGCAGCTCCTGGGAAAAGCAGTGGTGGCAGCAGTTGGGTCCTAGCACTTGCCTGCTATGTGCTGGCCCGTCTTTCACCCAAACAGGGTCAGTCTGGCCCGCAGCCTAAAAAGGTTGCTGACCCCCAGTTTACTAGTGGTGAGGCTCCCTAGCGCATGGAAGCAAAGTGCTTAATTCCATAGACATTCTTGACATTTCTACCTAGAATTTTGCTTCTGTTGTCAATAGCTCTTTTAAACAACCATGTATTTTGTACCTACCATGTATTATTGTTTTTGTTCTCCCATCCTCTTTGCTGCCAATGCAGTTGTTTACAACTTGTGTACATCCAATCAGCAGCAGGAAATGGAGGAAGTGCGCCGAGATGAAGCTCTCCGATTGCCAGAGGACCTGGATTATTTCACCATTAATGCATCACTGTCCCAGGAGATGCGAGAGAAACTGCACTCAAACCGTCCCCAGACGGTAAGGCACTAGGCCAGAGGGTGGGAGTATGGCAGTAATGGCCACAAAGCACCACTTTATGCTGGCATTTGAAAATTGGGGCAGGAGGGAGGATTACCCACTTTGGCACTGAGTTGTGAGATCTTGTTTCTCCGTAGTAGGTTTGGCTATCACCAGCTGGATTAAGGAGCTTCATGGTTAGGGGTCTAACCAAAGTCGAGGCAGCGGACGGCCAATTTCAAGTGCAGATCCTGGGGTTGGCAGTAATTTCCACAGGCTGAGCACAGCAGGCCCCTCCACCCCTTGGCCAAGGGGCCCCAGTGGTCCCATCCCTTGACAGAGATTGGCTGTAAGGGCTGCCCATGTGGCCCTGCCCCTTGCTGCCAATCAGCAGCAAGGGGTGGGAGCAGCAGTCAGCCTCCTTCCCTCCACGCCTCCCCCTAGTGCGCTGTGAAGCTAAGGCCACAAGGACTCCAGAGGAAGTCAGCATTTTATTTTCAGTAAACTTTTTGGTTGGCTTGTTTAGTTTGTTTTTCAGGGAGTCAGCCTAAAATAGTGCAGGCGCAATTTCAGTAGGTCTCTAATCATAGTATGGGACTTGGGGGCAATTTCAACTTGATTTTTGTTGCTGTTTCCATGTATAGATTGGAGCAGTCAGCCGCATTCCTGGAATTACACCCGCTGCCATCCTTAATCTGCTGAGATTTGTGAAGACTAATCAGCAAAGGACAGCAGACATAAAGCTGCCATTTAGGACTGGCAGATCCTTACCAGAGAGAAATACTGATATGCTTGCAAAGAGTGAATTCCAGAGCTCAAATCTGAGCAGGGCTTTCTGAGGAGGTGATGGAAAATGGCTGTATTGCAGTGGACATGTGTGGAGTCTTCAGACCGTACAAGGACAGGGGTTTTTGCATCTGTAACTAGCCACCTCTGACTGTGTTCTAGTAGGTATAAAGCCAACAGACCTGTATGCCTTTTGCATAGTGATCAGGAGCTCAAATAGTTTTCTTTCCAAACTTAGCTAAAAAAACGTAGCTGTGTACTAAGATTCCAGGTATGTGGGAGACTGCATCAGTCTATTTGAGAACCTGAAAAGTCTTGAGGGAAGGAAAAAGGCATGAATAGGGATTGTCTCTCCACAATAGAGAGAAGTGCAAGATGAGTGCTAGAATGCCAAGAGCCCAGTAACTGTTGATAACCAACTCGACAGTGCCCAGTGTTGCTGTTGATTTCATGTTGTATTACCCAAGGGTGTTTGTTTCCAGCTAGCCATGGAAATACTTGTGCTGTAATAATTTCTTAGAAAGTCTTTTCATGGAAAGATGGTAAGGGGGACAGAAAACCCATTGGGCCCCTAGGCAAATGTGTAACTTTTTAAAAGGCAACTGCATTAGAAGGGCTGTTTCCAATATGATCGTGAAAAAGAGTTAACTTTCAGGTTAAAAGTTGGCAGGTTAAGATTGCTCTTACTTTTTATTTATGTATTTTCCTGAAACTGTTCCACTGTGTTTCATAAACAGAATGGGAAAGTGGTTACCCCAGAACAAGGAAGAGCAGTAATATTTGGTATATTATAATGCTTTATTAGTCCTCCAAAAAAATGACTCCGTAAGGTGACACATGATGATGACTCAGACTTCCTCACTTCAGTGAAATAAAGCTTCATATTTATGCTAGTTCTGCAGGTCAATGCAAATTAAACTGAGATGTACCTGTATTCTGTGTCTTTTGAGCCCTCAAAATTGTATATGAACTCTGTTAGCTACTTTTCTACAAACTCTGTGTTAACAAGCGTTGGGTAGGCTTCCCTGAGTGACTGATTTGGTTTGTTAATACCTTGTAGGAAGGTATTGGAAGGATTGAGTCCAACTCTGTTCTCCATTTAGATAGTGTTTTCAGGACTGGCGCTTAGGAGAAAAAAGCAACAAAAAAAATTTCCAAAGCTTCTCCCCACCCCCACCCCCCTTGGAGCAGACCATTTTTCTGTGGTGTGAATGCTCTTAATCTCTGTGTGGCTTTAGGGAAATCTAGTGGAATCATTAGTCCTTTCATGAAACTGAATTAAATTATGCCAAAAGCAGTGGCAAAGGTGAACGTTCTGTGTTTGAAAATTGATGTAGTTCATGTGCCTATTGTAAACTAATTCCTGCAAATGTAAAATATATTTATAATTTTTTCATGGAATTATGGCAGTTGGTTTTTTAAATGCCCCAATGCACACATCAGGTAGATAGCAGTTAAATGTTCATAGAGCATAATGCAGAATTAATAGACCTACAGGGAAGCATGGGGGAGAAGCTGAATGTAGACGGTGTAACTTTGTGTTTAAGTGCTTGTATTTGAGATAGAAGGAATCATCTTCTAGTATTCTGAGGAGTCTCCAACCAAAAACAGCTTGGGGTAGATTTATATTCTCTCATGGAACTATAAATGCAGGGTAGGCTGGGTTGAGCTGGACTCTAGGATTTCCCAGCATTCCCTCCCCCACACGCACAAATTACTCAGAGTTCAAGAAATATTGTATTAAAACAGATTAACAGCACTTAGAACTGACTAGAGAGAATAAGTAATTGAAAAAGAAGCCTTAAGTGGTGTTTTTTTGTAGTGTAAAAGCAGTGAAATAGTTAGGTTTGACTTTTCCCAGTCTCCCATGCTTTTGATCAAGCCACAGGAGGAAAATGGTTACTCTTAGCTTTTACAAGGAGGGGTAAAAGATAAGATGTACAACCTGGGTAGCACTGAGAAACTGCCGTGTCTCTTCTAAAACTTCAGTTACTTTTTCATCAGTGAGCTGTTCTGCATTACAGTTATTTTTAGTCTGATATTAACTTGAAGTTAATGGCTATTCTTGTACATCAGAAAGAGACTGAGCATGACTCTCCTTTAAACTTACTTTTAATTTTTCTTAAGAACATTAAAAATGAGCCAATGTGAACAAAAATGTTGTCATTTTTCTCCAGCAAAGAAACTTGTCTCGGGTTTGTAGGGATCCAGAGTCTACTACTGGTTCATGTAATATATATTCTTGTCTGTATATATGTAAGTTCCTCCCTACAGGAACTGTTTCTCACTGTGTATGTACAGCACTTAACACAGTATGTCCTGATATCTATTAAGCTGTCAGTGCTACTACAGTAATATGCAGTAATAAGACTCTTGATGGAAATACAGTTGCTAGCATTGGGAGGGATGAATTAATATGCTGGGGAAACACAAATTCAATTCTCTGTTTTGCCACAGACTTCCTGTCTGACCTTTCTAAGAGGCTTTGCTCTGAATCTAACTTCCCCATCTATAAAATGCTCCCCTTTTTAGTACCCTTGGGAAGAGAGAGAAAGAAAGAAGTAACTTAAAGAATGAAGCACCTAAAGACCTATAAATCTCCACACTGATCTAAATAAGGTAATGTCTACTAGTATGGCAGATTGGAGGAATTTATGAGGGTGATCAAGCACTGGAGCAGGCTACCTAGGGAGGTTGTGGAAAACTCAAAATTTTCAAGAGTAGAACAGATAGATGCTTGGCTGGGATGGTTTAGTTGGGGATGATCCTGCCTTGAACAGGGGGCTGGGCTAGATGACCTTATGAGATCCCTAGATGATCTTATGCTTGTATGAAGTTGCTGGGTCAAAACAGACATGAATTTTATCCTGGATCTGGTTGTCCTGGTCTTTGACTCGCATCAAAACATCCATAGGAACATCATTTACACATGCAGCCTGAATGGTAATTAACTCAAATTAGCTCTGGTTGTCCTGTGGGAAATGTTATCATGGATACTTCACAGGCTAAAAATAGATTCTACAGCTATTGGTTCCTGGAATAAAAGGCTTTGTTCCGGATGGGAAAAAGCCAATGCATGTTTTTAGCCTTCAATTTAAGGTCACATCAGCTCTAGGATTATTGCTGAAATGCAGGGTGCTGTCTATGTGGCTTTATTTTATACTGGGCCTAAATGCAGTAGCATGATTTCTCATGCCTCTCCCCAAGGCAGAATTCTAGTTCTTCACCTTCCTGTTGTTAAGCAGATAAAGTGGCAAACTGTTAAAAAAGGATGGATCCGGAAGCACAGTCCTCTTCCATTAATAAAGCTACATAAAAGTAGGTCTGCTCAAGCCTGAGAAGAAACTTGTTTACTTTGCTGCAAAAGGATTTTTGCCAACCTGAAGAAAAATAATGAGAAGGCTGAGAGACTGGAAAGAGTGGGACTTCCTAGTATGATGAGCTAACATGATAGAACTATAAAATCAGAAATAAATGGGGGTGGGGAGCAATGTTTCCATAGCCATGTATGAACAAGGGAACAGCTAAAGACATTTAAAGAGAGATATATTGTATTTGTGGGATTCCCCTGACAGTGGTGTTTACTGAAGCAAGGGTGTTGGCAAGCCAATAAAAGATTTTTTTCTGTAGAAAGTAAACACACTTGCCTCCATGTTAAGAAACTCCCCTTCCTCCATGAACATTCTGGCCACCATAGACATATACCTACTGGCAGCATCTTGCTGCTGTTGGGACAGCTGTCTCCTTCCTGCCTTAAACCTCCACGATCCAAGGCTATGAGTCCTGTTTTCCAAACCAGGTGTTTGGCAGCTCCATATAGTAGAGTCACTGCTTTCCCTCAGGGCCATTCAGGATGCAGGTACCTTGATCAGCAATTAATACTTGTAATGCAAAAGCTTTACAGTCAGTTTGCCCATTCAAGCCAGGAATACAACTGGGTCCCTCAAACTGATCAGGCCTGGTCTCTGCGGTGAAGCACCTTTGAACAGCAAATCATGGAAGGTTACCAAAAGCAATGCTGATGATGTAAGCCATTAAGAAAGGACACATCAAGGGAAAGACTTAGAGGGAAAAGATTGAGCAGACCAGGCTTTTGAGTTAGCAGGAGGTGTGGGATGGATTGCTAGTTACAGGGCTGAGCAAAGTCTAAGACGACAAACCTAGAGCCTCCTGCCTCAGGACAGACCAGCAGATGGCACAAGGAGGAATTAAGTGGAACAAGGGGTCTTGTAATCAGGAAGTCTGTTTTATAACATATTGTATTCTGTCATAGTATGTCTCAATTAAAGAGTACTGTTGTTTTTAAAAACAAGAAGTCCTGAGAGTCAGTCTCAAGTCTGACTAGCCCTGGAGATGGGCTAGTCAAAGTACTGGTCAGATTTCAGCTAGCAGGATCTAATTACTCTTATACATAACTGCAACTTGCTGATTCCAAATTACTGTACGAGCACTCTTTTCTTCACCAAGGACCTTCAGGAAGGGATCCACTCAATACTTAAGCACAAACAGTAGAGACCCTGAATTCTTCTCTATGTCTGCAGAGAGCATTGGCTTTGATGAAGCAGTTCCTTGTAGTAACAATCTTGTCTTCGTTAGTTTAGGTGCTGAACACAACGTAGTTCCTTAGTAAAAATCTAGTTATTTGTATTATACTTGTCACTCACAAATTGAGCACATCCTACCAACAGACAGGACAAAGCAGATGAAATTGGTTTTGCAGGAACTAAGTTAAAGTTTTAAAAGTCCATTCCTGGGATAATATAGCTGACTTTCCCTAGCTGACTTCCTGCTCTTGGGGCAGGGGGCTGGACTCTATGATCTCCCAAGGTCCCTTCCAGCCCTAATGTCTAAGAAATCTATGAAATATACCTATTAGCCAGCACTCTTAGTAACTCACTCTTGTCCTTTCTGTTTACAGGTCATGTTTTAAAACAGAAGGGCTAGTGCTAGAGGGGAGAGAAGGTTATGGGGATGTGTAAGCTGTTATCTGGTGTGGATTCACGTTGGCTAGATATCATATTTTGGTTCTTGGAGCCTTAAATGGGATAAAAAGGTTTCTCTCCTCTGCTTATGAAACTGCTGTTGAATGCCAAGTCCAAGCATGTCTCTCCATGAATCTGTTATATCAGATGTCAGGTGTGGGACTCTTGGTCCTGGCTACAAAGCAAAGGGGGCTCCCAGCCATGAAAGCCCGCTGTTTGCCGATACAGCGGGGAGGGGAGCCAGGATCAGGCTTCCTCTATACCAGCAATAAGGCACAATTGGATCTAATGTGTGATCCCACAGTCAGACCTCCTAACATACACATGTGGCGTGGCATGGCAGGAGGCGCAATTATGTGGATCACATATTGGATCCAATTGTGGTTTTACCTGCATCTGTAGAGTGGGTCTCAGTTTCAGTTCCTTTGCTGAGGTTTGTTTGTTGCTTCAGCTGTATACTGAGTTTAAGAAACATTGAGACAAGGCTTTGCAATGAAGTGAAAAGCATTTTGCTTTGACGCTGGTGGATTCATGCCAGTTAAAACCTACTGAGCATAGAGTTTTGTGGTTGTGTTTCACTGAATCATGATGCATCCATTTCCTGATAGTCAGCTGCCTAATATTGTTAAAGCCACAATTTATAACTAAACACTAGACCTTTAAAAATCAAATGCA